CTGTGAGTTTATTTGGGACTGAATGACTTCAGGACAGGGCAGGACAGAAACTTCTGTCTACAAGAAGGGATAGAAGAGGCCTCTGTCAGACTGGAAAACAACAACAACAACAACTAGGCTGTGACTTCGGTGAGAAGAGTATGCCACTAACATCTGAGGGTGGCTTCTAAAAATAAGAGGATCTCTCCTTAATAGCTGGCAAGAAAACTGACCTAAAACCACAAGAAATGTAACTCTGCCAATAGTCACTGAACAACAAGAGAACCTAGAACCTCAAGTTAAGATCACAGATACCTGAGTCATGGGTGGTAGTCTAGAAAGACTCTTCCAGAAGAGCATAGCCTTTCCCTAGACTCCTGTACCTTAGGAACTGTACCTTTAAAACTATGTTGTTTAAAACTGCTAAGTTTGAAAAAGGACATGAATGTGTCTTAACTGGAGTTAATACACACTGATAAGGGATAGTCTTCTGTATATATGTTTCTCTTATTGGTTGATGAATAAAGCACTGTTTGGCCAATAACCATTAGATGCAGGAAGATAGGCTGGGCTAGGAGACAAGGAGACTACTGGGAAAGGTAGGCAGAGAGGTGCCACGAGTCACCATGTAGAGACCAGGAAAACAGTATGTGTCAGGCATTCTCTGGTAAAATAAGCCCATGTAGAAATTAACAGAAATGGATTAATAATTAAGATAGAGCTAGCCAATAAGAAGCCCAAGCCATCAGCCAACAGTTTAATAATTAATATAGTGTCTCTGTGTATTCACTTGGGGAGGAAGCAGTGGGACCTCGCAGGACAAGAAAATACAGCAACAGCATACAGGATGCATCAACTCCAAGAAGACCGATGAATGTACTCAACAGCCAAATCCCAGAAGTGGGCTAGATCTGAGCCAAGATTCTGACTATGATACAGCCATTGTCAGCTCCATGTCAACCTCCCTGTGACCCAAGCAGCAGGTAGTACAACCCCTCTCTCATCTTCCTATGAGATAGTACATGCAGGACCAGGAGAAAGTGAGCTGTGGGTGGTAACCTTTCTGAGCTCGTGGCTAGCATGGGTGGCTGATAGTTACAATACAGCTGTGATGATGGTAGTGACACAGAGATCAGTGGTCATTTCTGGGGCAGATAAAACTTTAGTTCCTTAGATAAGTTAGTGGTACCAGCTGAAGAAACATTGGACTATCATTTTCCAAGACACCATCTTGGAAGGGAGGAGAAGGAAGAAAACAGTGACAGAAGGGAAAGAGAGAGAGAGCTCATTAAGTCACTGAATATTAATAGTGCCTGTTTTGCATTCAGTCTTAGTCTAGGGCCCTAAAATATGATATGAATAAAACAAAGCTAAAAGGTTCCACATATTCTCATAGGGGAATATAGAAAGTAAATAAAGTGAATTTTTGAAAGCATATAACATTTGGTTTACGTAAAGTAAGGGGGAACTTGAAAGGAATCATGTATTGCCTTTTAAATGGAGGCATCAGAGATGTCCCTTTCTAAAGGTAACTTTCAGTGAGGAGCTGAAGAGTTAGCCATGTGGTGACCTGAAGAAGTGACAGTCCCAGCAGAGGCAATGCAAATGTATTTCCAAGGCAGGGGTGATCCTGGCCTTTCTGAGAAACAGCATGGCTAGGGTGACTGGAGGGAAATGAACAGGGAACAGGGTGGGTTTGGGGAGTCTGTTGGGGCCCTTGTAATATTTTAGAAATATATTCCCCCCAGCCATGAGTTCCGAGAGCTTACTCTTTTGTCTTTTACATGTTGGCTGATAGCCATTGAATGGCCTAGCCTAGGTGGGGAATGGCTCCTATTCTAAATAACAATAGCTTCGAGCCAGAGTGAGTCTATACCCACCCTAAAAGGCTAATGAGATGTGCTGGTGTGGAGTGCCTGCTATAAAGGAGTGTCTCTAGATTAAGGGAAATATTTTGCTATCAGTCCTTTATATGTGATAATGTCTTCTATCATTGCCCCCACTTTTGGATGGTTACTTAAGATAATCTATCAATGAACCACAGCCTTCAGTATTTACTGATTGCCCTCCTGATATGACCAGATGTCTCTGTCTCTTCTTTAACACTGTTGAAGAGTTAGCCTATCCTGTGTCCACACACACCCACTCAGGGTTGGGGCCAGGGTTGTTTGGCTGGTTTGGTTGGATTGCAGCCCCGAAGACATCAGTCCATAATAAATGGCGCCCACCTTGGGGCTAATACAGACTGGACCCGACAGGAGTTCAAGGGCCTGAAATCCCTTTGACTTCTACTCTGAGTAAAGTAGAAAATACTGAAGGGTCTGAGGGGAGGGGTGACACCATCAGTCTTCAGTATTCAAAGGATGGTCCTGGAAGCCACAGAAGAGCAAGAACAGAGAAAGGAATGTAAGTGGACTAGGAAGTCATTGCAATAGGTACAGATGAGTGTGGCTTTCTCAGACTAGGGTACTGGAGGTGGCATGTCCAAGTGCTAGGTGACGTTTGCAAACAGATGGGAGAGAATTTGCTCAGATTGAATATAAGCTGTAAGAGAATAGCATTCAGGAGTAAAGCCACAACTTTGAGCCTGAACCACTAGAAGGGCTACACTTGTGGGAAAGATTGAATGAGCTGGCTTGCAAAGGAATGTGTGGCATGAGGTTCTGGCACGTTAAGTCAGGGAAGGGGAGCAGGTATTAGTGGTGAGCTCTAGAAGACAGCTGGATGCTCTGATAAGGAGTTTAAGGAGGGGCTCAGGATGGAGACCTAAATTTGGCATCTAAAACAAGAGACTAGGTGTGGGGGTGCATAAAAAAGAGTGAGTATGGGTAGAAAAATCTAAGGTCCACCTCGGATTAAGGCAACAGGACGAGACTGAGAAAAAGTTGCCATCAAAGAAGGAGATCGTGAGAAAGGTGTGTCCTGGAAGCCCAGGAGAGAAAGGATCTCAAGGGTAAGAGAGTGAATGACAGGAAATGATAGAAAGCCAAGATTATTTCAATTTAACTGGGCAGCCAGGAGACCCAACAGGTGCAGTTTTGATGCAGTGATGGAGATGAAACCCTGATTCAAGTAAATCCAAAAGAGACAAGGAGAGCACAACCTAGAAGAACTTTGCAATACAGAGGGACAGAGAAATGGGGTAGGGATGGAGGGGAATGGAGCAGGGGAATTAGACCATGTCTGCAGTCTGATGAGGATGATCTATCAGAAGAAGGAAAAATAAAATGGTGGTGATAAGAAAGGTACAGTCAGCTCTCAGCTACCTAGGAAAGCAGAAGGGAAGGGTGTAACCTATTTAACTGGCTTACTTTACAAGATTTAATACGTGACACATCAAACTTCTATATGAATTCTGAAATATTAGGAACACCCATGAACCCACCACCCACTCCAAGGCTAAACCAACAATTGAATTTTCTACCCTACATCTGCCTCAGAGAAAATCGGCTTCCCTGAGTTTTGTGACCACTGGGTTCTTGTGGTGTTCTCTTCGTTGAATTCTGTTTCATGTATTGATTGACTGAGCTGCTGTTCAACCTCACCTCCTACAGACAGACATCAGCCTGCTCTAGACAGCGCTGGAAGAAAATTGAGTTTTTATCATATTGCATCACCAGGTGGCTACTGCTTTGTCTGATAAGCCCCTTCTGCATGAAAATTGTTACTCATTCCTGCCTGTATATGTATGCCAAAGGAAGAGACCAGCACATCTTCACATATACACATACACAACAGACGTCGGTGGCTGGAGCCCAGGAGACATCAAATAGGCTTCTTCAGCTCCTTTTTTTCTTCTGGAAGACACACCTGTCAATCTCCCACCTCCCCCAATGCCTCCCTTGCTGTTAGTGGAGGCCCATATCAACAACTGAATGCCCCCTCCACCAAGGCCTGGGGGAGGCAGTAGACGCCAGTGATTAATCTCTTTCATCCCTAGATCTTGCCTGTGGGTAAGAGGCTACCCAGATCATCCAGGTGTGCAGGCACCTGCAGGATTTTGACAAATAACAGTAGGACAGGCCTTTTGCAAATGGATGGCAGTGAGCTGTGAGAAGCCCTCTGCATACATAAACCAAAACTCCACTTGCTCACTGAGGCTTGAAATTGCTTTAAGAAGAGACAACGGCTTTCATCTCACAACTACAGAAACCTTTGAAGGCCATGAGTGAAGGAACTCATTGATTTTGGCTAATGCAAACTACTGCATAAGTGGGCTGGAAGACTGGGTGGTTGTGACCAGACCCTTAGAAATGGATGTTGAAGTAACAAAGGTGGTGGTAGACCACAGTGAGTCTTTGCTTGCCTCTAAAAAATATATATATATAATAATAATCATCTTCAAATCAAAAGACCTAGAGTAGGGTTTAGGGCTACTGCCAGAGATTTAACCATAACAAGTTACCCCCATGGTTTGAGCCTGATACGGTACTCGGAGACTTCATTGCCTTTGTTGTGTAAAAACACCAACCACATATGACCACACTCTGCAGGAAGAATACATCCACATTCTTCCTTCTTGCTCTCTGTCGCAAAGCATTGTGGGCTCTGCTCTTACACACCCTAGCTCCACCCACCTTCTTAGTATGATAGTGGTTAGAAAGGAGGAATCTGGAGCTAGCTTGGACCAATCTCTAGCTGATCCTCATCTTGGGCAAGTTGCTTAATGCCCAAGTCGTCTCATCTGAGAATGTGGAGGTAAAAGTGTCGGAAAGGACGAACTGAGTTAACGTCTGCATTGCATTCACAATACGCCCTGGCAAGAGCAAGAGTGAGGCAGGGTTTGCTGAGTTCCCAAGGGGATCTCCCTCACCTGCCACTTTCTGCTCTCAGAGCACTTAAGCCTAGAGCCCACTGCTTTAATCTGCCCAGGGTTCTTAATTCCTGACCCATCCTATGGCCTCTCCACCACCACCCCTCCACAGGCTTTTAACATCCTTCCTCCCTCAAACTCTGGATGCTGGGGAGTCTATGACGTCACATAGTGTTCCTGCCCTGGTGGGCAGGCAGCAGGGTTGCCCAGTGAGTCATACCGCCGCTAATAAAGGCGGAGTAGTGCTTGCGTCTGTCCGTGGTGGTCCCGCCCTTCCCGAGTAGATCCTGCTGCTCTCCCACTGCCAAGAGTCCTAGGCGCTCCCCACACCTCCCGCCTGAGACCAGGTGCTAGGAGTCACCTGAAGCCGGACAGCCTCTGAGGTACAACCCTGGAGGGGTGAGGGCGGGAAGGCAGCCCTGGTTATGCCATGGCTGCAGGAGACCCAGTCCTTCCTCATCCACAGAGCAGGGAAAAAGCGCGCAGAGATCGTTAAAGTGGGGTAGTATTGCTTTCTGATCAACCTGTGTGTTTTTTACCCAGAACTACTATTTTATTTTTTTAATATTGTGTACCATGGCTTGGAAACACAATGGAATCCTGTGAGCCCCCCCCCTGCTTTTCCATTTGTAACATGGATATAAGAACACATTTGGAGAGACAGTTGTGGAGACTAACAGGTGTGACTGACACCCTGTAAACTGCTGGTACCACTCGTTCATTTTTACCAATATCTGCTGAATTCTGTGTTCCAGCCATCAGGCTAGTACTGGAATTCTATAGTGAGCAAAATAGTGACAAAGCCTGGCCTGGGGGTTTATAGTGTATGGAAAAGAAATATATTAATCAAAGAATTACACAAATCATGTCAACTTTGAGCTATGTGTCACTGAATGGGTGTAACGGAAATGGCTTGGAGGTCAGGGAAGAATTAAGCTGAGCTCCAATTGTGTAAAGTAGGAAGTCCATTCCAGGCCAGATCAACTGTATGTCCTGAGTCCACCACTGCCTATTTCAAATAAGAGCAAGGATGTACAGTGGCTTAGTCCTGAGTTCCAAGAGCTGTTCATAGAAAACAATTCAGATTCTGGTGTGTGGAACCTTCATTCCTGTAACTGGACAACTTAACTTCTATAACTTAACCCTTGGACCATACCCATAAAGCCATGAAATTCCAGAAACAAGTCCATAGGTGATACTTGATAAACCTATGTTCTTTAGCACTTAGTGAGTAAGCGTTGGCTCAGTGTTCTCCTCTGGGAGGCGTGAAGGTTTCACTTAATCGGGCATTTATTGGGTTGTGAGAATTGGAGGTGAGCCCTGGAATATATAATTGAAGAAAGCCTGCCCAAACCAAGAGCTTTAAGAATGGAAAAGAATTTTACAAAGTGTTGGAAGAGTGGAATAATGAGATGGAATAGATCAGCCCTCTACTTTAAGAAAAGAATGTGAATAAATCTGTCATATTGCTCAAAGGCTGAGAAGGATGACAAACAATCTAAGATTCCAAAGCTTTGTGTCCCAAGAGTGCATGGAACTCCTGAGAGTAAGTGACAATACAGCAGAATTTGCTCTGAACTTTTCCTACTGTGTTGGACATTTCTACAAAGGTAAAACGTTTCACCACTCTCTTGTCATCCAGGCTTGAAAACTGGGAATTAGTTTAGACTCTACTCTCCTCCCCCTCCTTCTCCTCCTCCCTCTTCCCCTCCTTCCCTACCTTTTACCAAGTCCTGTATATCTAGTATCTTAAATGTCTGTTTCCTGTCCCTCCCTCCTTTCTAGAGACTTGTAGCTCTCGCTGAACCCTGAGAACTGCCAGGCTCTCCTATCCGGCCTCTCTACCCTAAGCCCTACTGCATTCACTTTAGCTCATGAGGCTATTGGTCAGTGTGTTTCAGGATCCCACAAAGAGAAATAGCACCAAGTAATTTTAACGAATAAGGTTCACCATAAAAAATTAATACCAATGGGCTTGAAGTAACGAAGGAGGAATGGCTAAAAAGAAATAGGGAAGAATTGAAGTGTGCAGGGATCACAAACACACGAAGCAACCTTGAGCTGGACCAGTCCAGGAAGACTCTTCTGGAGCTTGCTGTGGAGGGTTGTGGTCACACTTCCCTGGAGGTCAGAGGAACTGTGGAGATGCCACCCAGACAGAATTGACTCCCTAGGATGTCAGAGAAACCATTCATAAGAGGGTGACTCACTGGCAGCGCTGTTAGCCAGCTTTCCATCACTATAACAAAATGCCTGAGGAAATTAACTTACAAAGAGGCAAAGACTTACTTTGGATCACAGTTCTGGTGGTTCCAATCCAAGATCAAGTTGCCCCATTAATTTTGTTCTCGGGCAACAGCAACACCCCATAAAGGCAAATCAAGCCACTCATCTCCTGAGCCAGGAAGCAAAGAGAAAAGGGAGACTCTAAGACCCCGTGATCTGCTGGAGGCATGTTCCCAGAATCCAAAGAATCTCCCATTAAGCCCCACCTCTCAAATGTTCAGGTTCCTTTCAGCAGCACCCCTTGGGGACCAGATCTCTAACACACAGACCTTGAGAGTTACTTACCAAACCACAGCACAAACAAAGATGCCAGCTATGGGCACCACAGACAAGTACTACAGCAGTAAGGCACTCGAAAATGGATGACATAGAGCAGGAACCAGATGCTAGGGAGATTGTGCTACCCTTTGGGTTGTTTCTAGAGTCCAGCAAGAACAAGCCTGGACCTCCAAGAAAAGTGGCTGCCGCTTCCCATGTCCCTCCAGTGCTCTGTACAGGAAAAGCAGTCGAGGGAAAACATGTAAAGGACCCACTTCCATTTTTGCTGAGGCAGTGAAGGATGGCTTTGCTGTTGAGGGGCCACTATTTGATAGTTGGTGTATCAGAAAATCGGACTGTGTGACCCTGGCCCATAAATCATCTCGGGGCTCTCTACTGCCTTTGAGGTAGAGAGCCTCAGTAGGGCTTTTATATTCAGACCTTGAGCAACAGATTCAGCCTTAGACCCAACTGCTTAGCAGCGCGATTACAGTTATTAGACTTACTGGCTCTAAAACTTCCAAGCTGTTTAAGTCTTCCTGGCTTCATGAATTCCCTCTTCTCTCTCAACAGTAAACATGTTTACTGAATAATTGCCCTCTAGATTGTTCTGGTGGATGGGAACATAGCAATAAACATTCCATGCCACCCTAAATTTCAGTTCAAATATCACCACCCATCTCTGGAAACTATCTTCTAACCTACTTCCATTCCTTTGTTCTATCTAGTATGGGCTCCTTGACTTATTTTTTTTTCTTCTCTCATATATTACATCCTGGCTCAGTTTCCTCTCCCTCTGCTCCTCTAATCTCTCCCTTCCACCTCCCCTGTCTCCCAGATCCACCTCCCCTCACAAAAAAAAAGCAGGCCTCCAAGGGATAGCAACCAAACAAGGCATAACAACTCCAATAATACCAGGCACATACCATCACATCAGGGCTGGATGTGGCTACCCAGTAGGAGGAAAAGGGTCCCACAAGCTGGCAAAAAAGAGACAGCCCCTGATACCACTGTTAGGAATCCGACAAGAAGACCAAGTTACTCAGTCATAACATATATGCAGAGGACCTAGATCAGACCCTACAGGCTCCCTGATCTCTGCGAGCCCCCATGAGTCCCAGACAATTGATTCTGTAGGCTGTGCTCTCATGGTTCCTCTGACCCCTCTGTTCCTCTGATCCTTCCTCCCCCACTCCACAGGACTTCCAGAGCTCTGCCTAATATTTGCCTGAGGGATTCTGCATCTGCTCCCATAAGTTGTTGGATATCGTACTCTATTTTAATCACTCACCTTCCTTTCCATCCCTTTGTGAATTCAGTGTGCATGATCTCTTTATTTCTATAATCCAGTGCCTAGTCTAATTCCAAGAAAACACATAAAGTTTGACTTGGGTTGATGACTTTCCCAGGATCTGATAATTTTTGTTTTGTTTTTCGAGATAGGGTTTCTCTGTGTTGTTTTGGAGGCTGTCCTGGAACTCGCTCTGTAGACCAGACTGGCCTGGAACTCACAGAGATCTGCCTGCCTCTGCCTCCTGAGTGCTGGGATTAAAGGTGTGTGCCACCAAGGCCTGACAGGATCTGATAATTGAAGCTATGCCCAAGTCTGGAATCCTGCTCTAGTGGCCAAGAGAGCTCCTTCACGAGTGCATCTGCCATTTGTGGTGTTATGCTACAACTCGCTAAGAAAGGCAGTAGCTGTGTGTGTGGTGTGTTAGAAAAGAACAGTGTGGTGTTATAAATACGAATGATGGCAGTGGACATAGAAGAGGAACATAGCCCCAAAGGTATACTATAAACTACTGTGCATTCACTGAGAGCTTTTGTTCTTATACTTCAAGTCTCTGAATCAAGATTGCTGCAATTATACCATAAGTACAGAGAATACATAATGGGGAATGGTGTGAAGTGTTTTATAGTTGACTCATAAAAAATAAAAATACTTCCATCGTATAATTAGATAAGAATACTTCCAACATATACTTAGAAAAGGCAAGGATAAGGTGACCCCAAATAGGCACACCAAATCCCCAAATTGGGAAATCACTTTAGACAAGTTTAGGGAGCATAAGACAGTCTTCACACAAACTATGTGCACCTGGAATTTGGGGGCCTTGATGTGAACATGGTGGAACTTTTTGAAATATAAGTGTGACTAGGCTTGGATAGATTGAAAGAAGTACTTTCCAACTTTTAAATAATGTGGAACCTATGGCTTCTAGCAGGTGGTACTAGCATGATAGATATGCAAGTTTGGGATCTTAAGAAAAGAAAAACTACTCAAAAAAAAAAAAAAGGACGAAGTCAAGTGAGCCTGCTCTTAGCAATATTGCTATTGGCATCCAAATGCTGCATTGTCTGATCATGGATTTGGCCCAGGATAAAATATCCAGCCTTCAATATTATAAAATTGGAGAACTAAACAAAGCTAATATCAATAACATAAATTGTGGAGAGTTTTAAAACAATTTTTCTTTAGACAGGGCCTCACTATGTAACCCTGGCTGGCCTCAAATTCCTGGGCAATCCTCCTCTGTCTGCCTCCCGAGTGATGGGATTACAGACACATCCCATCAGGCTTTAATTTGTGGAAATCTTGAAAGTCACGTGATTAGAAAAGACATGAAGATCCACTGAAGGTTTTTGAGGGTATCTTGGGTGGTTAAGAATATTGATCTGACAAGCTAAGAAAATGCCTTAGTTTCCTGGCATCAGAGAATTCTTGATATTAGAACTTGCCTACTCATGGGTTCTTGTAAGGACTAAGCAAAACGAAGAATGTGCAATGGATGCATTAAGCCTGCCCTGTTCTGAGTACCCCTTCATGTGTGGCAGCTGT